TAGAGTGTACTTACACAAACCTAGATGGGATATATATTTTTATTTATATATCTATTTTTTCATACAGGAAATCAGGTGTTCCAGCACCATAACTGAGTATCAGTCATTTCCCCTACTTGATCTGCAGTGCCAACACTGAGTGCCATACACCAGGTTTCTACCTGTGCTGCATTAGAATCCACAGGGCCACCACTGAATATGCAGTTGATCTGTTGTTGATCAAAACTTTGTTATGCAGTGCATGACTGTAGTTAACTTTCCTATGCCTCCATTTATTCATCTATAAAATAGGGAGAATAGCCCCTAGTTCCTCAGGTTTTTATGAGGACTAATTAAAATATTTGTAAAGTGCTTAGAAAAGGGTACTATTAGTCACCTTGTTGTAGGTTATACTGTGGTAACAAATTATCCCAAATTTCAGTAGCTTATAACAAAGATTTCTTTCTTGTTCTTGAGACATGTTGGTACAGCCGTGTTCCATGCTGCTTCTTCTGGAGTCTGAGGAGCAGCCCCTCTCAGGGTCCTGCTTTTCTCATGGCAAAAGGGACAGAGCAATGGTGGAACCAGGCAGTGGCTCTTGAAGCTCGTGCCCAGATGAAGCATTTGTCACTTCTGCTCATATTTCGGTGGCTAATGTAAGTCAAAAAACAAAACCTGATGTCAACAGGGCACACAGAGGCCCTATAGAGAGGGCTTCAGTAGAGAGGGCCAGCAAATACTTTCACTAAATATATTTGAACAAACCAAAATATCAGAACAAAAAATCCACCACAAGTGTCTGGTACCTAGTAAGTGCTGTGTGTTAGTTAAAGAAAAATACACGTTTGCACAATGACACAGAATCCTGAAAGTGGATGTTTGGGAACAGTAAAATACTGAGTATAGCTGGAGTGTATGGGTCACACAGGTGACAGGGATAGGCAAGGAGGTCACATTTTGAAAGGCTTTGAAAGGAGACTAGATTTTTGCCTAAAGGTAGGTAATTAAAAAACTTACAGCTATTATAATAAATTTTATAAGGCAATTCTATCAGCCATCTTTATTAAGACAATGGCATAATTTCATTTATTTGCACCGTGCATTTAAAAATTACATGTCTACTGGTCACTACTTCTCTGTGTTAACAACTGCCTAAGACACCATTTGTCAGCCTGGGTCTGAGTTGCACTTGCCACAAGGCAGAATATATTAATAGAAGGCTTCTTCCAGTCAGTCCTGGCTCCCTGAGGTTAGGACAGGGAAAGGTGGCATGGAGAGAGAGGGAGGAAAAGGGAGAAAGGAGTACATACGGATGAGTCACTATGAATGTGAGTATGTGTGTGTGTGGTGTACAATGGACAAGCGCTGGGATCTTACTTGCTATTTTAATTATAAGGCACCCTCCAAATTTGGATGTTTCCTAAGGACCTGCTACTCGTCTTCTACTTCTACACGTGGTCCTCTCACAAGTCCCACCACCCTCATGGCTTTGGTCTACCTTGAGCGCAAACAATCCACCTGCCTCAGCCTCCCAAAGTGCTGGGGATTCCAGGCACGAGCCATTGTATCTGGTTAGCCTTCATTTTTCTTTGCAGCTTCCGTCTTCATTTTCAATGAGCTACTAGAAAATAATCCAAATCTCTAAAGTAAGTTTAACTGGGAGGCTTGTGCATCAGAGGACTTATCTGACCTGCTACCTATACCTCTTTGGTCAACGAAGAAGGAATCTAAGGAAAAAAAGATTAAATAGGAGAAAGGAAGCATGGAGAGAAGAAAGAGATGGGCACAAGCAGGGGGCACACAGAGGAACCTGCGCCTACCATCCCTTACCCAGAAGCAGGCCAGGGCCTTAAAACTTACTACAAGGATGCTTACTTTTCCACAGCAGGTTATGCTGTTTCCATTTGTTCACAGTTACTTTAAGACAGTCATGTGGGGTTTTTTTTGTTTGTTTGTCTGTCTTTAAAAGCACTACAGAAGGAAGAGAGAAAGGCAAATCACAGCCTACAAATGAGCTGTCCTGACTCCCTCCAGATGGTTCATTTTTCCTACCCTGTTCTATGATCTGCAAACCCTGATAAGGCTTCTGTAATCTTGCACCATCGTAAAGTGTTTCTACTTGAAGTGCTTTAAAGATCCCCACTGCTTATAGAAAACATTCCAAACTCAGACCGCATTCAAAGTCCCAAATCTTTTGGGTGTAACAGATTTATTTTTCCACACTAAGGCTGCTGGATCAGATAATCAAAATCTGATGTACTGTACCTGACAAGTAACAAAAGCAGGAAATGGGTACAGTGAAGGGCCACATTGAAGGGAAAGGTAAGAGGAATACAGGCCTGTTAATTTACTCTCAAACAGCTTGAAAGAGGATTAATAATAAATGTGTGAATTGTAAAAAGAAAATCGGCAAAAGAAGGTTCTTTCTATTTTAATCATGCCAGAATCAGATCAGTCCTGAGACCTCAGCTTTTGACAATTAGGGTACATCCCTGTGGTAATGACTCAGATATGATTCATAAAACTGCAGAAAATGAAGAAGTGCTGGGATGTAGATGGCTCAAAAGCTCTCTGTAGAACCACAGAAAGAATTTAAATGAAGTTCAGTAAGTAAGCAACACTTTCTTTAAGGAAAAGTATTAATGTGTAACAAAACTAGTGGAATTGTGAATATATAAAGACTGGCTTCAATTTTTGAAGGTCTCTTACCAGACATTAAGAAGAACAGTTGATGCAGTTACTGAAATGTTGAAGTATTTGTTTAAACTGATATATGTCACTTGGCTATAACAGCCAAGCTTTCCAATTATAATTCTGCAACATTTCATGAAAAGTCGTATTTTAAATAGTAAATGTTTGCATTAAAAATCAGAAATGTCAAAGTAAGAAAAAGGCAACACAAAAACATTTATCGATGATACATGTTACATGAATAATCTTACAGTAATCTTTAAGTACAAGCGAATCCCCCTGAGCTTTCCTGGGCAGCAGCTGAAGTCTCTGCTGGATCACAAAACAGAATTGAGTTGTGACAGCCATCCTTAAGCTCCTGTAAGCTAAAAACTGTCTTCCCTCAACCCAGAAAAATAATCTAGTTATTTTCTGTGATATCGCTGAAGACAAAAAGTGGCCTCCTATCTAGTAAAATATTGTATTGACATAATTTATCAATCTCCTATTTTAATCAGTGGAATACTTTAAAGTTATGTATTCAAAGGCATCTATAATTATGCAAGAATAAGGGACACCAAGGAGAGATTAAAAACTAGCATAGGCCAGGTGCAGTGGCTCACACCTATAATCCCAGCACTTTGGGTGGCCAAGGTGGGCAGATCCCCTGTGGTCTGGAGTTTGAGACCAGCCTGGCCAACATGGTAAAACCGTATCTCTACCAAAAATACAAAAAAAGTAGCGAGGCATGGTGGCATGCACCTGTAATCCCAGCTACTCGGGAGGCTGAGGCACAAGAATCACTTGAACCTGGGAATTGGTGGTTGCAGTGAGCTGAGACTGCACCAATGCACTCCAGCCTGAGTGACAGAGCAAGACTCTGTCTCAAAAAAAAAAAAAAAAAAGGCCGGGCGCGGTGGCTCAAGCCTGTAATCCCAGCACTTTGGGAGGCCGAGGCGGGTGGATCACGAGGTCAAGAGATCGAGACCATCCTGGTCAACATGGTGAAACCCCGTCTCTACCAAAAATACAAAAAATGAGCTGGGCATGGTAGTGCGTGCCTGTAATCCCAGCTACTCAGGAGGCTGAGGCAGGAGAATTGCCTGAACCCAGGAGGCGGAGGTTGCGGTGAGCCAAGATCGCGCCATTGCACTCCAGCCTGGGTAACAAGAGCGAAACTCCCTCTCATAAAAAAAAAAAAAAAAAAAAAAGCAAGCTAGCCTAAACAAAATAAATCAACCAGTACCTTCCTAAATAAAGTAAGCTCAATCCAAAGTTGGCTGCTTTCCAGAAAACCATGAGGAAACTTTTTGGTTTCTATGATAGCAGATAACAAATTACTTATGTTTCCTATAAATAACTTTGTTTAAAAAATACTCTTTTTCTTAAAAACCGTATTAATTGCCAGATTGAAATAAAATAATTGCTTAACAAACACAGCTGTTAAATGAATTAATGAGTTCAATACTAAAATGTGAAATCTCATCAACAGGTTTTGTCACATTCCCCAAAACACTGAAAATCACCTACAATTAAAATTATCTATGCATTTCTTTTGCATAGTAAGAATTTTATTTTGTTAGTATTTTATTTAGCATACTATCTCCCCAAAAAGGGAAGTCACTTGATCTACAAAGGAAGAGGAGAAGTCATATTGAGCAAGAGACATCTGGAACAGGCAAACTGTGGCTCTGTGACTCTCAGGCTTGGATCCTACAGTCAGTGGTGTGTAAATCAAACACTCACAAATAATACTGATACTCTCCTTTACAATCTTCCTTATCTAAAGTATATCATATCATATCATATTAAATATTTTGTAACAAAAAATAATTTTTTAGACAAAGAATGAAAATATTCCTTAGGTTTAAAGCAAGTATAGAACTAAGGTAAACTGGCTATGATTCATGATTCATGAATATTAATTATTTTAAATAAACACAGCTAATTATTTAATTATGGTAGAATAATAATAAAGAACAAGGTTAATATGAAGATTTATCAGATTTTTTGTCATAGTGGAAGGTGGAAGGTTGGTAACTTTGGCTGAATCAATTATGGTAAAAAGTAGAAATTCAATAGGCTCAGAAATGTTTATTATTAGCAGTGTTCTTTAAAATGCGACATCATCTTTGAATTATATTCCAAACACACTGTAATTCCATTCATCCTTCTGAAACAAGAGATTTTTTTTTTTTGTCAAAAATTCTATTTTAAACTTCTGATTCCTTTTACAAAGTTAAAACAGGCACCCCAATACCTGTTAAACATGTATATTGGAAAAGACTATGATCACAACATATAGTTTTAGATTTTAAAAAGACTACAAAGAGATGAAAAATGCGACCTACAATTCTAGAGCACTGAATGTCATACAATGAAACATTCTGAGGAGACAGGAAGCACTTAAAGCCAGGAGTCTAAAAAGAAAATAAAGAAAGAAAATGGAATTAAAAAAAAAAATCGAGTCACGTATGAGTTACTAAAGAAGACAAATACTGACAGTAAATGAATTAACAGTAACTAACACAATGAAATCATATATAATAAGGTACTTCAATATTTGAATGCTTTTGGAAAATATTTAAAACAGAACTCAAAAGCTTCACTGCTAAGTGAAACAAATATGCCATGGAAGAAATAGTGTATCTTCAGGCAGCTCTCATAATCAAAGCAATGAGCTCTGTCTTTGCTGTTCTCAGGATGGTTAAGTCCCCCTTAGTCACAATGCAGGGTGAGCCTAGTCTGGGGGGAGTCTGCCACCTGTGTCCCAGAGAATCAGTCTGACCCCAGGATGGCCCTACGCCACCACAAGTCTTAAGAATAACAGATGGATAGCTCAGGTGTTTTGAAGACTTCACAATAGGGTTTAGCTCTGTGGTCCTGAAGCCTATCAGGTATCCAAGTAGATGTGAAAATTTTTAGGGAGGAGAAAACAATGTGACTTGGAGCCCTGGAATCTTGGCCACAAGCATATCAGTGGTGGGGAATGAAGGTGCGAGTTCTAAGGAAAGAATAAGCACAGAAAAAGGAATAATACAGACAGCTTAAAGGAAGAAGAGAGGTAAGCAGGCTTACAGGATGACACACTGGCCCCAAATACCAGTCATTCACCTGAGAAACAAGGATGGTGATAATTCACTTGAAGTATGTGCAGTGATTATAGCGAAATGTGTATAATTATGAATCCATTCTGGAATTTTTAGTCTTTTCCAAGAAAGAAATTAAAACTATGCTCTATATCCTATAGTTAAAATTTATTTTAATAAATCTGGAGGTTCAAATTTAAGTCACAGATAAAGAATAAAACTCCACTTCATGCTCTAATTTTTTAAAAATACCTCACAGAGAACTTAGGACAAATACTTATTATTAAAATACAGTAGCATGGGCGAGATGAAAAAACTCCAGTACACAGACTGAGAATGCTTTGTTCATCCCCTTCTTCCATGATGACTCTTCAGTCAGGTCCAACCCACTTGACTTTCCAGTTGGCATTATTATTTTCCCTCACGTGACAATGTCTTTTTACCAAACGACCAGAACACCTCTCCTTATTTTTAGTAAGTCCAACTTCTTCATTTTCAGCCTTTTTTTTCCTATGATATAAAAAACAACACTGACAAAAAAAATCTAGCTAAAACTTTCATCAAAATTACCTTGAAAACACAAACTGGACTCCCTTGTCTCAGTTTTCCATGTGACTGGCCCTTTTTAATCACTACAGAAGTAGCATCAAGCCAGACCTGCCACGGTTAAAAGAATGTTGAGACAGCAGAATACTGACTCAGTCTCAATAGGACAATTTTCCTAATGTTTTTTATAGGAGAGAGAAAGAATTGGCTGAAAAGGTTAGTCACACTTACAAGTCCACTTATGGCTACAATCCAGATGTAGGAACCAGAGGTGAAAAGCTATAAAAGGAAAAAAAAAAAAAGGCAATTGAAAATAAAATTCAACTGCCAGTCACAGCATACTTATTTTTATATAACTACAGTTATGGCCATTTATATAAAGTATTAATTATATATGCTATAATACAGATAAGCAAATGGAAAATTATTAAACATCAATTCTGTTACTTAAAAAAAATTATATATTAAATTTTTTTAAAATTCAGACCTCAGACTTTGTATAGCCTAACACAAGTTGAACCTGGCCCACACCCACACAAAGAAAAGTACGTGAAACTCAAGTGTGATGTTATTTACAAACTTTAATTGACTTAAAGTAAAATACTACATGTAAAGAAATGATCAGAATTAATAACATACAAAACAGGTAATCACTATCCCATACTTGGCAATGACACAATATTTATGTAAGTAACTTTCTCATTTTAATTTCTTAAATTGTTACCCTAAATTTAGATGAGAAGAACCCTACCAGCCTCCTTAGCCTACAATGTCCAATGGTAACTTTCTCAAGTGTTGACATTCTCATTCTAGCTCACCCAAGGAAGAGCAAACTAAATAACATAATAAAGTTAATTAATGGCAAAAGTAATTAGAATCAGATGTCATGAAATCTTTCCTTTTGTTTTCCAAATCATTTATACCTTAGAGTTGTGCTTGGGGTTAAAAATAATAATTATAATGACTCTGAAAGTGTTCCTGCACCAAAAAAATGATGTGTGGGTCATTGTTGGTTAATGTTTAGAATTTTAGATTGGGGGTTTACTGCTTATTGTAGAGTAAAAGGCAGGATACTCAGGCAGGACAGCCCAAGTTCACTGCTGACATTGTGCTAGATGAAAACCTCAAAGTTCTGCACACTTACCAAGGACAAACAGAAAGAAGACAGACACAAAAGGTAAGAGTTGACACACTCAGATAAAAAAGAGGCTGGCTGGGCCGGGCGCGGTGGCTCACGCCTATAATCCCAACACTTTGGGAGGCCGAGGCGGGTGGATCACGAGGTCAAGAGACCGAGACCATCCTGGTCAACATGGTGAAACCCTGTCTGTACTAAAAATACAAAAAATTAGCTGGGAATGGTGGCGCGTGTCTGTAATCCCAGCTACTCAGGAGGCTGAGGCAGGAGAATTGCCTGAACCCAGGGGGCGGAGGTTGCGGTGAGCCGAGATCGCGCCATTGCACTCCAGCCTGGGCAACAAGAGCGAAACTCCGTCTCAAAAAAAAAAAAAAAAAAAAAAGAGGCTGGCAAGCTTTGCTCTAGTGACAGGCTTACTTAGAAATGAGCACTGGCTGCAACTTTCAATCTGATCCTTTGATCTAGCACGGATACTTGTTCAGTGCAAACGACTCTGATAATGATAAGGATGAGAACCATGTAGACAAATATTTTGCTGTAGTTTTCTTCTAAAAATAGAAAGGAACAACAGACTAGCTAACACTTTCTATGTGTCAGGCATCACTCTCAAGGCACTGTAGTAAAACCAAGTGGTTAAACAATTCGCTGCAGGTCAACAGCTAGCAGGTGGTGGGCTGGAGTATATCCAGGAGGACTGGCTCCACAGCCGTGCTCTCCACTCTACCATGTCTCATATGCAAGTAAAAAGAGCATATCATTTTGTCAGTAAAAAAATAATTTCCTCTGGGCTCTGAAGTCTTCATTCCTTGTGTGGTCCCCAGTATGTCTGCCTACATCTTGACAGTGTCTGTGTGTTTTCTCATGGCCGGGCTCCTTGAGGACAGGGGCTACGCTACATCTCACCCAGTGGGTGACACTGATTTAAGTATCGGACAGCTTGAGAGCCCATTACATCATAGGCCATTGCACAGCGCATGATGTTACGGGCTCTCAAGCCACTGGATACTTAAATGAGCCTTAACAAGAGTTTTGGCTCTTCCAAATACGATTCAAGTCTTCATTCATTCATTCATCAATGTCCCTGGTTGTGGCGGGGAGAGAAAAAGGCACAGAAACACATGTAAAGGCTTGGAGAGGAGGGAGGTAGGCAGAGAACAGACACTTTAGCAATAAGGAGTTCAGTCACACTCCTTCAAGGTGGGCACAGGTGGGAGTTGACAAGAGACAGGCAAGAAGAACCCTGAATGCCATTCATGCTAAGGACCTAGATATTATCAAGGAGCCAATGAGGCATCTTCACCTCTACTTTCTGATCTCAACTTCTCCCCCACAAAGTTACTGGAAATAATACAAAAATATTGGACATTTATATTATTTGGAAAAACTATCCGTGGTAGCTGCATCTACCTTTCTGCTTTTGGCAGGGCTAAGGAGGATCCCTCATGGTGAGCTGTGTAACACTGTGGAAACTGCATTAGAGATTAGGTTGGTGAAAAAGTAATTGCAGTTTTTGCCTTACTTTAGTGGCAAAAACCGCAATTACTTTTGCACCAACCTACTACAATGGCCCTGTGACAAAGGCCATGCTGTGCTTCTTCATCCAACTAGGATCCCCTTTCCCTAAGAGATTAAACACACTACTTATTTTGCTTTATGCCAAACAAAACAAAACAAGAAATACATTCACAATCTCAAAAAAAAAAAACAGTGGTAGCTATAGAGACATAAATTGTTAATTAATAATAGTAACCAATTGACTTAGGTCTTATTATCTGTTCAGATTACACTAAACACACTACCTTGAAATACCTCTATAAGGTAAGTATTATCATCCCCACTTAATGGATGGGGAAATGGGGGTTCAGGAAAGGTAAGTGACAAAACAAATCATTACCAGACCAAGTTATATAAACCGAAGTCTACTTGGCTCCAAAAACTTTCCACAATGTCGCACTGAATTACTACTGCACAATTAGTAAAACAATGTTTTCATTCTTTAAGATTCGACATAGCTTTAGAGTTGGAAGAACTATACAACCAACGTGAGGCTATGAGGGGTCCCATGACTTTACCCAAGTCTCATGGCTGACGAGAGCCATGCTAGGACTAGAACTTGGGTCTCCTGAGTGAGGTCTGGAGTGCTCTTCACATTCCACATGGCCTCTGTCTTAACAGCTTTAAGAATATTAAATCTGCTATAGCAAACCCTACTTATAAGGATCAAGTGCAGAAATGGGGTATTTGGTTACATGGATATCAGGTAGGATAAGGGGGTGTGTAACGGTATGGGGGTTGAGAGACAGAGAATAAACAGATTTCATGAGAAACGGTTGTAAAAGTGGTAAGAAAACACCCGCCCCAGATGAGCCATTGATAACACATGACAGCAGACTGGAGAACTGAGAGGAAATGCTAAAGGTTAAAAGGGGAGGGAGGAAGGCATTCTGAAGCGACACTAGTATCCGGTTAGATGTGCGTGGGATAAGGAATGTTATGAGTATTAATCAGTGGATCAAAAGGCCAAGCGACACATGGTGACACAGGAAGCTGTAGAATAAAACTACATCAAAAGCCATGAGAATAAAAGAAAAGTGACAAGTAGTATGACAGAAAACTGAAAAATAATTCTCCTACCACAGGCCTGGAGCCCAGTAGGGAGCAATCAACATTTGCTGGATTGGCGAAGACAAGCTTTTCAAATTTAAGCTAGACAATAGTACTCTAATGGTCATAACAGCAAAACATCAGCAAATGGTGACACTACCATCATGGCTACACAAACATGGAAATAATGAAGCTGACAATGCTTCTTGAAAAATCCAAAGCTTGGGTTGGCAGGGCACACTGGGTTTCTTCTTCAGAGCTTTACTTGCGACACCATATTCGATAAATTAATTTTGACACTGGTTTTCTACTTTCTACTTTTTTAGTTGTTCTCACTTGTTTCCATTTCATAGTATGATTGTTAAAAAGTATTCACGTGCAATTGTACAATGAAATGAAAATATTTTCCACCGATACAAATTTCGGTGAAAGCTCTTATCAGATTTCTAAAGGCTATGAAAGTATTCTAGAACCTTCTATACCTTGATGTTCTTGTTCTGTAACACTTCCTTTAAACATTTGATATAGATCATGAAGCCAAGATTATGGGGGAAGAAAAACCATTGTTTTCAAGGAGATCAAATGAGAAAAAGACCAAAAAAAACACAAGATCTGGTTAAAGTGAAGTGAACATAAAAACGCATACTGTACCTGTAGTCCCAATATATAAATCAATGTCTTGTTTGTGATGGACAACGGGCCCAGAATTTGTGCCACTTGAACTCTTGGGATGGAGCAGTAAAATGGTACAAACAGAGCAAACACAGGTGCCAGGCTATGCAAACAAACAAACAAACAAAAAAAGAACCACTATAATAGTGAATTTTAAACACCAATGGCAGATGTATTTTTGATATAACACTGCTTATAATTTTATTTCAGTCTGAAAGCATGGTCTTAAGATAATATAAGTTGATTTTCAAATACGCATCATGTCCAAAATAATCTGTACTTATAGAACACTTTATGAAAACTCTAATCATTCTATCCTTATTGACCCTCCCAAAACCACTGCAAAAAAGTAGTCAGCACCTACTAATTAATTGTGAGAAAAGTGGAGGCTATGTTTTCTTCATAGGTATGACTAAAATCCAAGGAGAGAAACGAGACAAATCAAAAGCAGCAAACATTAGAATTCTTCACGGTCAAATCCAAAAGCCCCCGTCTCAGGCTCCGTCCAGTGATCTTTTACCACGGCACTGGCATGGTTCACCTCTGGCCCTCCTTTCCTCGCATTCCTTTCTCCCTCCCTTTGTCTGAAACCCTGTTTCTCAGTCGTCGTCCAATGATTTCTTACACGACTGGCTTCTCCACGGTTCCATTATAGCCTTTTCTGCTTGTTCTATCATCTCCTCATACAATCTCAATCCTTTCTATGGCTTGGGCTAAGAAAATGAACTGAGACCTAAAACGATCTGCCCACCCCTCATCCTGGTTCTGAACATCAATTTGACATCTTCACCTTGACATATTCAAAAGTCTTAGGTGTCTTTCTACTTACAGTCTTGCTCCTCTCTAATCCATCTCTTACCATTGTTTTTCTCTTCCTAAAACACAACTCTAATCACAACATTCCCTTGCTTAAAAACCCTTCCTTCCATGGGCTCCAGTATCCAAAGATAAAATGCTTCATAAGGATGTGATGGCAAAGCTCCCCAGTTCGCTCTTATCACTGCAGATTGCCACCACTGTCCTCCTCTCTGCCTCCCCTCATCTGGCCCATCACACACAAGGCCCTCTCACACATGCATACAGCTGCTCTCTGAACACGCTGGCTGCTTAGACTCTCCACTGACGTAGGTTCTGCTTTTCACTTTCCTGCCTGGGAAATTCAGCTTGCGCAGCACTGCTCAGCTCTTCCCATAAGACTTCTCTGACTCTTCCTGGTAGCTGGTGGCTCTCCTTATGGCCCCCAAGCTGTCAGTTTCACCATTTCAATGAGCCAGTGAATCAAGTGCATGCTGACAATGTCAAGGTAGAATGCCCAGCCCAGGAGCTACATCCAAGAGAAAGCAGCAGTCCCTGACCTCAAGGAACGCATTACAGAATTGAGACAAGTGTAATGAATGCATTACACTTGTAAGAACAAGTGCTGGGCAGGTAATATGAATGAGCAGAGTGCTTTGGGCATGTACTTGCACCCATTTTTCATTAAACACTTGGCTTAATTACTCAGTCTATGTTTTCTTTTCCCAGTTTTGGGGAAATGGCACCAGAAAAAGAGAATTATTTCATTATCACAAGAAAAATGCAAAAAATATGTTTCACTTCTACAAAGAACTGTCCTCAGTGCCATTTTTGTGGAAACATAGGAAGGACCCTCCTGGCCTTCTTGTGCAATTTCTCATCCTTGACAGAGACTATCTTATTTTTTAAAATGCACTGTCCTCTCAATTCTCCTATTAAAAACAAAACCAAACCAAAATATAACACATACAAAACAAACGTGATAAATGGCAGCCCCATCAACAGCTATTAACACAAAAGCAGCAAATGCTAGAACTGGGAAAACTCCAGCCAGTAAGGCCAAAGTGCAGGTACTGTGTCAGGACTGGGGACAAAGAGATGCCAGATACACCTGGCTGGCTGTCCAGTGAGAAGGATGGCAGGGACTGGGTAGCAGAAGGAGGTGGATGGCAGAGTGGGCTCCTACCCCCACTTGCCCAGCCTAGAATTCCTCGAGTATCAGGCCTTCCTCCCAGGCTGAGCACCTCGGTGTAGGGAAGAAGAGGCAGTCCTGGTTCTTCTAGCACCTGGCACAGTGCTTGGCACAGGTCAGGAGCTCACTACATTTGAGGCAACAAAATAATCCTTATCCTAGAACAACTATATGACTCACATTTGAATTAACAATATAGCATTCTCAAAAACTTCCCATTAGATCATTAATTCTGAGAGAAAGCATCATATTTTATCTAGCTTTGCCTAATAGGCATTCTCATACATGATCCATATTCAGTATTGGTTGGATTTTTTTAAATTAACAAAGCAGTTTTTAAACACTATACAAAAGAATTGCTTTTATCCAGTTCTAAAACCACACATAATTGATTAAAATAGCCGGGCCTTCTTTTCATGGAAAAGTATGAGTTAGTCGCTCCTGGGCATAAATCCTCTAACACCTCCCCATCTACAGTCATGACAAAGACGTCCTAGGCCCTGTGTCTCATCCCCATCCTGATCCTGTGCTCCGCAAGGCAACACCTTCTCAGAGAAGCCCTCCCTGACTGCCCAATTTAACCTGCGCCTCCCGCCCTCACAGCTTTCCCCCTCTGCATTCTCTACTCTCTTCCTGACTCTTCCCCCTCAGCACTTATAACCTTCTCAGCACTGCCTGACTTGTCTATTGTCTATCTCAAAAACAGAATGGAGGCTTCACACAGACAGGGATTTTGGTCTCTTTTGTTTGCTGTTTTATCCCCACTGTCTAGACTGTGCCTGGCATAAAGTAGTGGTTCAATAAGTATTTGCAGAAGAAATGAATTTTCCTTTAAAACAGCAAAACCATACAACAGAACTTAACTCACCTTTTGTTTTAAAAAGTCCCCTTCCTTTTTATCATTTTTAATGGGATTAAAACATATGGTTTCATATGCAGCTCAAAATACGGCCTGCTGGTCTCTTGGTGATTATAAAACCCTATTTGGGTAGCCAATTGCACTGAAGGTCTCTTACCACAGAACATATCCTTTGAGGTGCTTAATTCACATAAGTTCTTCTGTTTACATTTAGTAATCAAGTGCAAATAGTGATGTTATAACTAAAAAACCTAAAGCAGAGTTCTTGTTTGAGGTTACATTTCAGTGTAAACTAAAAAAACACTGGCAGAAATTTTAACGACCACAGTTTATATTTCACATACCAATAGACATTTACAAATTCCTTAAAAATTATTAATCACTATGTATTCTTAAATGATGACTAAATACTAGGCCACATTTACACATTTCAGACCAAAATTATATGGGCTGTTCTGGAGAAATTTTCCATTGCTATTTCTATACACAGAGACTTCACAAAATACCATAATGTTATTAGTCACTGACCAGTCTTTTTCTTTTCCTTATTTTATGAAAACGTCTGTTCTCTATACTTTTTCATACTGTGAAGAGCTACCTTCTGGAAGCCCTGTCTGACTTAAGCAGATGAGGCTGGTAGTACAGAAAAAAGCAAGCAAGTTAAAAAAAGAAAGCAAATTATAAACATTTCAGCCATCCTTTCTTTTTTTCTGTTTTTGTTTGTTTGTTTGTTTGTTTGTTTGTTTTGAGACAGGGTTATCTGTCTGTCACCCAGGCTGGAGTAGAGTGAAGTAGTGTAATCATGGCTCACTGTGGCCTCAAATTCCTAGGCTCAAGCAATCTTCCCACCTCAGCCTCTAGAGTAAACTGGCATTACAGATGTATACCACCATACCTGGCTAATTTTTAAACTTTATTTTAGAGACAGAGTCTCACTGTGTTGCCCACACTGGTCTCAGACTCCTGGCATCAGGTGATCCTCCTGCCTCAGCCTTCTGAGTTGCTGGGATTACAGGCATGAGCCATTGCTGATTCATACTTTGATATTACTAATATTTACTAAGCATCTACTGCTATATATTCATAATTGCACTCAATAGAAAAAATAAAATAACAAAGACACCTTGTTCAGGTTGCAAATGTCCACTTCACTTCTTCTATAGAAAAGGTCGCTTGACACAGTGGCTCACACTTGTAATCCTAACAACTTTGGGAAGCCAAGGCAGGCAGATGGCTTGAGCTCAGGGGTTCAAGACCAGCCTAGGCAACATAATGAAACCTTTTTTCCACGAAAGTACAAACATTAGGTGGGCGTGGTGGTGTGTGCCTATAGTCCCAGCTACTCAGGAGGCTGAGATGGGAGGATCATTTAAGCCCAGGAGGCTGCAGTGAGCCAAGATTGTGCCACTGCACTCTTGCCTGGGCAACAGAGTGAGGCCCCTGTCTCAAACATAAACAAACAACAACAACAAGAACAACAAAAGTTCCTCCGTACTCTCAGGACTTTAAAGGTTAGAAGAACTTAATGACATATGTAGGAGGCGAAAGCTATTTTTGACTCTTTTTACAGAAACCTGAAGCAGAAAGGCCTCTGAGGTCACAGAGTTACAAATTCCTACCAAATGATTCAATTCTGTCTACATCATCCCTCAAAATCATCAAGTTTACACAAGCATTTAAATAAGAAACAGCATACTCCATTTTAAAAAATAATCCCAACTTTTAGGAATGACTCTCATTTAGTTTTGATCTGAAAACTATCTCCAATAACTTCTTACTGGCTCTCCTGCTCGTCTCTGGAGTTAGGAAGACTGACATAAGCAATTTAAAAACTTTCCTATGAGAGTTTACACACACATGAGGATAATGACCCTATGACTGCAAAGCCTACACATCCCCAGCTTATTTAATCAGTTCTCCTAAAAGCTGCTATCCAGGCTCCTCACTGCCACAGGTGCAATCTACCTCATCTATGCCTTTTGTAAAATGCAGCACCCAGAACTGGCTGGGAATGGCCAGATCAGTCCTGGCTAAATGTAAACATCACCTCTCCTGATCTGAGCGCTACATATTTGGTAATTTAGCCTACAAATAAACTGCATTTTGACAGACACGTTACGCTGTTTAAACTGAGTCAACTAAAACTATAGGGTGAAAGGCATACGTCTCTTTCATCCTGCGCTGAAGAGGGTGGATTTCATCTATAATGGGCCTCCCTTCAACTGTTCCCCTGTTATTTATATGCTCACATAGTCAC